AATCGATTCCGACGTGGGGCCAAGCAATTCAAAACAAGGAACTCCATGAAGAATGGTAAAATAGTTGACAGCTTAAGGTAGAGTCATCAGTATAACTTTGTCAAAATTTTGCAAGCAGATTGCCAATATAACAGATTTAATGTTGCCAGCACACATAGTCTTGGACTTTATTTTTAGAATTGATGAAGTTACAAAGCTCTTTGTGTTTTAAAATATAATAGATTCGTTATATTAAGGAGGTAGCGAACGATTTACATTAAGATGACGGTATCCGCGAAGAGAATATGAATACTAAATGTAGTTAATAGAAAAAACTCTTCTCGCATTTCTTAAAAAGCGATATCTTTCACATTTCTTAGTTCTTAAGTGAACCATATCGCAGATCTGATATTAAACATTCGTAATGTGCTGTAAGAGTGTAACCCGGTAAATAACCGGAAGGTGACGGCACGACTAACATAAATAACTCTTGCTTTATCTCTTTCTTGCTTGTTCTTTGCTTGTGATAACAAATGTGCCTTATCGTTTGGCCGATGTAAGTATAGATTAAAAATTAAACTAAGAATTGAACTTTTATAAAACAAAATGAAATAAATTAAATCCGTATTATTCGAAAATATCACAGAATTATATGAACAGAAAGAGACCCAGCGTGAAGGCAAAGAAAAGCATTAATATCATCTGAAGCGTAGTGTGTAATGGGCTGTTCGAAAAGAACAAAGCCATTGCTGGTAAACGTTACCAACAACAACTGATGCAAAGTGCGCAAAAGCATGATAAGAGAGTTGTTCAGTATGCAAAAACAATTTCCGGAAGGTAGCACTCAACTTGAATGTGTTTACTAGTCATCACTCTTTTTCGTTAACACATGTTTTAATCCAGGGCTTACGGCCTGCTCAAGCAGTTCTTCGATTGTTCTGACAGTATCCAAGAATTGGTTATTTGATTTCAAGCACACACTAAAAGGCCTGTTAAACAATTTCTGGCTTCGTGTAAAAGTTAAATAAGTGTACAAGTAGCTAAATTCGTCTTTGTGCTACTCCATATTTGTTTTTCATGGGTAAGTGTCAAGTTCTTCTTTTCTTTATTAATGTTGCAAATTACCGTCAATAAAAATTTTTCTATTAGAGCAAATGAATCTCATTAATTCAGATTTATAATCGCGTTGCCAATTATAATTCCTTCAACATTATTGATTTCTTTTTTTTGCATACAAACGGTAGCTTAAGAATAACTGGCGAGGTAATGTCAACACAATCATAACAGGTAACTGAATTGGTTTCATGAACCCCGTGCTATAATTTTAGGATTAGAGCAATACTGTCAAGAAAATAACTTGGAACTTTCTTAAAAAATTTTTTGAATTGTATATACTTAAAGTAGTGTAAGAAATATCTTATTCAACGTATTCACATAAATTCACATTAACACAATACATGCAATATATTTACAAAATGCATACAAAACAAACAAAAAATTTAGGAAAAGAATTCCAAAAGTAGACACAGTCTACAATATTTCGAATGGAGATTATAAACCGTTCAAAACCTATGGGAACTACACGAGCCATAACACAGAACTAAAGTTTTTCAAGAACAGTGGAAGGAAATTGAAAACATGATTGGTGATTTATATACCGCCAATAGAGGATATATCGCTGGATTTCAGAAAAACACTACAATGCAACCGTCACTACAATACCAGCTATATCAATTAATCAAGACGAAGGTATCAAATTAGAACGAATAAGTATACCAGATTTCATTGAAGGTTAGACGAATACAACAGATCTTCATGATCTATTCAAAGTAATGGTTCATGATAATTGAAAGTTAACTGGCGTTAAAAAATTACAATATTTGCGATGAGCAGTATCTGGAAAAATTGACATTTTAACCAAATACTTCAACCTGACCGATAACAACTGCAGTGATGCTTGGAAATTATTGTGTAATAGGTGTAGCAACAGGCGAAAAATTGCATGTGTCTTTAACGCCGCAACCTGACACGAGTTAAATGAATTCGCACCCCATATCAACAGCCTTGATATAAGTTTAACAGATTAAGTCATGGAATATATGTTGCAACAAAAAGTCCACAATGAAAGCATTACGAAATGGCCAATATGTATTGGAACATCAACTGAAATACCAATCTTCAACAAATTGAATTGAATGAAGCGGGTGCGCTGTCAACTACAATGAAGAGGCCTATTAAAATAAGTCTTCGTTCAATACAAGTTCTCAAAATTGAGAAATTTGATCATTGTCCATTGTGTAATGGAGAACATCGTGTTCATCGCTGTGGTCAATTTTTAAATTTTAATAATAAGCATCGGGAAATGGTTCGATCAGCAGGCTTATTTTGCTATTGTTTGACTGCCGAACACGTAGCTACAAAGTGTTGATAGAAAATGACGTTGCAAAAAGTGTGAAGAGAAACAGAATACATTATTGCACATGTTACCAAACATTTATGAAGAAAAGATTACGGCGCATGATAATTCGAATAATGCGTATAGCCCATCAACCCAAACTGCAGTAATGTTAGCTACGGTATAAATATGACAAAATGTTTATACCAATCAGTGAAAGGGCAACTAAATTATTAAAGTGACTCGGCAACTGGCTTATCTAATCATCAACGAAATACGATTACTCATAAAAAGCTATATGGAAGATCGTTGGTTTTATTTCGGATCGGCGAAACAATTCACATACAATTAAAATATTTAATAAACACAATTCACAAGAAAGACGCATTGAATCGATTTTAGCCCAGAAAATGAAGATTGGGTAGATTTTAGCAAGACCAACACATGAGCGAGAAATTCCCAATAAAATCCCATATGCTTTAGTCAATAGCGTTTACTTAGATAATAAATTAAGAAATTCTTGGGAGCAAAAGTTGGAATAAAACACCATCATATACTATGACATAAAGTAACGCAAGGAAGCATTGGAGGGCAGTACTACATACTACATCTACATAACTTAGTCAAATCATGTATTCACAAAAGGATGAAGTATTTCAAAAGAGATGGAAAAACAAATCAAGGAACCGCAAAAGCTACAAAGTTATATTTTGCAATATTTATTTATCTTACCACAAAGGGCATTCATATAGAAGTAGTTTTCGATTTGACAGCAAACACACGCATCGCAACTATTAAACGCTTTGTCTCACGTCAACGCTTATATTCTGACTTATGCAGTGTTTGTGGCACCAAATTTGCGGTAGCACGCAAGAAATTGGTAAAGCAATATAACCTGGTGATCAAACAAACATAACAAGCAATTGCTAATGAAAAAACGGACTGGCATTTTAACCTTCTCGGCAGCCCTCATTATGAAGGACAAAGGCAGGCGTAAAGTTGGTAAAATCACAATCGGCAAAAGCAATGGGCGAGCATTTGTTAAACACTGAAGAAATGTATACCGTCCTCGCATATATAGGAGCAGTTTTTAACAGACCTCATTTTTTACGCGAATTTTACAAGAAATTTCGTTGGTACAATGATATTATAACGATAAAATCAGTATACAAATTATAAGAAAATGGTATAATATCGAAATGTCGTCAATAGAAAGAATCTGAAAATTTCTAACGCGATGCATAATGGCTTGATAACCATAATATCTGTCTATAAACTATACAAATTATTTGCAAATTTGAAATTTTGTTTTGCTCAGAGTAATGGAATTTGTGAAAACAAATTAATAAATTATGCAAATTGCTTAATTTTACATTGATCTGCTCACTTCCTTTTTTTATGATTAAGTGTGGAGATATCCTTTTTATAATTAATGTCCCAAACTACGAACAATATACATTTTTCTACTAAAACAAATAAATCCTGCTAACACGGGTTTCTAACGTTATATCGCGTTGGAAATTAGTATCTATTCACTTTTTTTTTTCCTTATACTGCTTATGTTATAGGGTATATTAAATTTGTGTAAACGTATGCAACACCCAAATTTGGTTAGGATAGACCCAGCTTTTATTATATATGAAATTCTCTGTCCGCTTCTTGTCTGACCGTGATTTTTTTAGTTCAATCTACTGGTCGTAGTTTTTGGGATATTTTGATGAAATTTGGTATACTGACGTGCTTTGACCCAAAAACGAGCGCTATTGGAAAAGGTATCTACTAAATTTTGCGACAAAAGTTGCTGAATAATGGCACTTCGATTTCCGACTTCGACATAAAGTCGTATGAAAAATTTGCTCAGGCTGGGGCAATTTTTTGAAATCCCTCTTATATAACAGTTTCTACAAAAACGGAATCTTTATATCCCAACAATTATCAACAAACTTAGCTTAAAGGTCAATTTAAAAAATTATTTGAATTGTATGTACATAAACTTGTTTAAGGAATGCTTTATTCAATATATTCACATGGGGTGTTGTGGAAACCTTCCGGAGTTGTCCTTTGCTATTATACATGTTACAAGGTTTGCTTAAGTGAACGTTCACCTCAATCAGCAAACCGTTTAAAATTATATATATATGTGTAGACCCACTAATTGGAACAAACTTCTTTGAGAATGTAACTAAACAACAAATATGTTGGGGTTAGAAGTTTACAACTCTTATAAACGGAGTGACATAATCAGTATGTCCCTTCCTGCGGTATACATGAAAATTTTTATCGATAGCCATGAAACCGAACCGACCTTGAAACAAATCGGATTATCGAAAGAGTTTTCTCTACAGTGGTGCAAGCGATAGATGTAGATAAAACATAGACATATTGCAAAGATTCGAGATGATATAAAAAACACAAATGATGAAATAACACAACATAAAAAGGGGGTCTATAGCAAAAAATACTTTTTTAAATTGAGTCTATTCCCCACTATCAGTGTATTAATTATTTTGATACTATACTTAGCGGTTGTTATCGGTTCTGATATCTTTTTTGGTACATCAACACATTTTAAATAATTGAAAACGAAGTAACCTATAGTGAAAAATTAATGTAAAGTTGCTATTACCTGTGAATGTGAGCTATCACTCTCAATTTGCTCGGAGTAACAGTGCTTGTAGTTGAGATAATCTAAAAGTCTTCTTGGCAATGGCAATGTTTGTATTAAATCCTTTCTAATCACCACTTTCAATATAACAAATCTAAAAAAAAAAAAAGAATGGAAAACTATTAAAATATATTGTTGGAAAAGAGAAAGGAAATACATTAGTAAAGAAAAAAAATACTGAGCTGAAACCTACATTACGATTACTTATTTCGTTTTTCTTAATCCACACTTCAAAAAACAATGGATTGAGTAAGTTTCTTTTTCAACTTTTTCTAATTCAATGTAAACAATATTTCGCCTTGAATAAAAACAGAAAAAATCCATCAATGACCTTATAAAATATATACATTCCCCATTGATGCATTAAACAAAATTCAAATGTTAAAAAGTTTAAATAACCTCGATAAATCGTTCATATCTGAATGTATGCAAAATTTCCCAAAACGCTGGATGTAGGTGTCCTACTTGTTATTGTTATGTCCGCATTTAAAATAAAACGTGTAAAGCAAAGGTGACGTTAATGGATAACATCACTGTCCATTCTTCAGAAAATCAACATTTTGCGTTAGCTTCAGTGTCATTGATGCTTTGAACCTTCTACAATAATTGAAAAAAAATTTTTTCTTTAATTTCCTGAGTTAATTTATCTTTGACGAAAAATTACAGCTTAACATCACTTCTTGCCTGTTGTCCTAAAACACTAGAATGTGTTTATATTAAAAGTATATCCAAGCAAAAATACGTTCACTTTGTGCAGCATCATTGAGACGACCATCGCGTGAATATGTGATCGACAGCGATTTGAAAAGAACCAACACTTCTGCCAAAAAATTAAAAGTGTACGAGAACGAAAAGGACACTAATTACGACTATAGAATTCTAATTTTTTTTTGCCGTTTTCTCTGCCATTTCACAACACGAAAAATGTAAAACAATTAAGAAAAAATTTGTTCTAATAAAAAACTCGTTGGTAACATATTCCAAACTTTTAAACGAAGATTTCTAGAATCATGATTTTTAAAAATGGTAAGCTCATAACTGCTCCAATCCTTCTTTTATTTCGAGTTTTTAACAATATGTTAAAAATGGCGATTGATTGATATGTAAAACTAGACGATTTTCAATAAGGTAATTTTAACATTATTTATCAATAAACTATTGCCGTTTTTTTATCTAACATTAAACTTTTTTGTTCAAACACGCGCTCATTACACAAATGTGATTACTTTTAAAATTCCTTATATTTAGCTATAATTAAGTACGTTAAATTAATCTACTTTCGGTGTTGCCATTTCAATAACAACTTTTCTGAAGGACTTTAATAATAGGAAAATAATAACTTAACAACTTCCCTTCCTCCCAAAAAAATTGTCAAAAATATAATTGACAGTAGTAAAATATACTTTCCGTGGTACTTAATTTTTTAAATAAGCAAGCTATGCTCAAAGTATCTTTCTATTTTAAAACAAGCTAAAATGTTGACCATTTAGCAGTAAAGTACTCTAAACAACATTCGACGAAATAAATAAATTCTCTTAAAATGCTGGTCACATAGAAAAAAGCACCTAGAAATTATTTACGAGAAATTTCTAGCTTGTAAACCATTCGAAATTAAGATACATTTGAGAGATTGATTGATTTACCCTTGCGGCTAATAAAACATTCTGGAGACGAAATAATTATCGTAGTAAAATTTTTAACGTATACTTTTCATATGATAAAGTCAACCGTATGCTGTATATACCGCACACTTTCTGGAGACTTTATTAAGTAATTGAATACTGTAAATAAAAACTCAATAACCGGTACAATTTCGTGATTTTCTTGTAATTAGGTCAAGTATCATATGTTCCGATATTTGCTCAGAATTAACATTAATTATGAAAAAACACATCCACAATGCATGCGGGCCCGATTTTATGAATTGCAGGAAAACAGTCTTTCCAATCTAAGCTTGTCAATTTTTGAAATGATATGTTTTTCATTATTTTAGCTAACCACTTTTTCGCAATTTCATACTCACCATAAGGCTTATTCTGTTTGCTTGTTCAGCGGTTTAGTGGAGGCATTATTACGACCACTAAACTTTGCTTAGAGGAACTAATCCGAGACGCGGATGTTGTTTTAATTTTCATCAGGATCATTGAAATAATTTTATATAACAGCTGATAATTTTGCATGCAATTAACGAAATTTTTTTCTAGTTAGATTACAGCTTCAGCCTTTTCTTATAGTAATGAAGTTGTTTTAGAGAAAGCAAATATGTTTTCTATATTTCTGTAAAAAAAGTTTAATTAGTTCTGATTAAATATTTTAATTTTCAACCTCATATATATACGAAACGGTATGGAAATAGGGTATTTAGTTTCGACAGTTACCAAAGAAGAGCTGCAGAATTATCCAAAAACATAGCACCAAATAACCTACACCCGTTTATCGCATTGCATGTGAATAGGTATAGGTATGAATATACGAACATTTTGTTTATCCATAGACAAGCATATGAGGCAGTTTAAGCAGAACACACCCCTTTTTATGCACATGTTTCACTGTTAAGGTGTACTATTCTGCCGGTTGTAATTTCTATACTTTTCACTTATTTTCAATATGTTGTGTAACTTAACTAATTCCGTTTATAACTTATTGTAACAATTCATGGCTTTAAATTCATCTCAAAATATTGCCCAATTTAGAAAAAGGTTGAAGATTCCACCTAATTTGAGAAACACAGCAATATTCCAGGTAATCGTAAGAAGAAATAAACCAAATAGTTACTCTCTTTTTAGCAAAAGATACACTAAGTCAATGCTTATCACTTGCTTCTTTGACGACTGTTCGCAGATCTGCGTGCTTCTCCTTTAAAAAAAATCTGACCCGTTATAAGTAGAAAAACATATGTCCTGATTTCCCCAAAACTCGTAATTTTTTTTTTTATCGACTCATAACATGGGATTTAATTTCTCTTTTGACATAGAGACCTTTCAGGTCGTGACTGGGTTAAGTACTAGTTATGTACCAAAGAGCGTTTGCAATATTGCGAAGTATCTTAGACTGAAATGTTTGCAGAATCTCTATATTTGATTTAGCTGCGCCCTATAGTTACATGCCGTACATCCGTTTGTTCTCCAGTGAAATGCTGGAACTATGGCTTAGTATTGAGTACGATTTTCTAAAGTATGCTTGTAAATAATGCAATGTTATATATCTTCTAAATCAATTCCTTAACCAAATGAATGAATGAGTACGGTGAAACTCTGGGTTAGCCCGCTATGGAACAAATGGGTATGTCTTTTTTTTAAAGAGAAAAGTAGCTTATATTGATTTACTTTCATTTCCTTCGGACTTCCATTTCTCTTTCGCTAAGCCATTTTGTGGTCGAAGCAACTCATCGATGAGCAACAGCTACAATGCGAGTTTTAGTGCGTTGCATGTTGGCTCTACATTTTTAACATTTTTAACATCGCTGCTTTCGTTGCTTTTTCACATTGATATGGCGATCTAAAATAAGATTCAAATGATTTCTTTGAGAGCAGGCGCAAACAACAGCGGTTTCTTCAACTTGAGCTTAAGCACCTGTTCTTTTTGACAAAATTTTGTATAATTTGACAAGTGGCAAAAATTCAGAGTTAAAAATTACATTAAATACTAAAACTTTTTACAACTAATTTTTACAACATGTTTGTGTACGTTGCATACGATTTATCGCAAGACGTCTAAGTGCGCCAGAACGTGCATATTCAAAACTGATTATCAAAGTTTGCTCCCTTCGTATGTTTAAACAAATAGAAACTTAGCAATAGAAACAGTTTGAATAGCTCAATGACATAAATAATGAAAAGATAAGTACAGCCACAATATTCAAACCCGGACGATATAAATAAACATTCAGGCTGAATTTATGCCATTATAGGAGAGAGAGCTCGCATTAATTTACTGCTGGGCTCAAAGCTTTTGGTACGAAGTACAAATTTGAATGTGTCCCCACTGAAGTGAAAACTTTTTGCTTCGGTAGAGAAGAAGTTTTCAAAGAAGTTGAGAAATTAATCAACCGAAATTTTAAGTTTAATACTCATGGCATTAAAAATATTCCATGTTACAAATTATTACTTTTTGTGTTAACTATGCTTACTTGCTATAGTTGCAGAATTCAACGATCGATTTAACATTGAAACCAAATGCTGACGCTGTTGACAAACGAGGTAACCATACTGAAGCTGCCTGAAAGTTTCAGCTGCGATCCCACCTTAATATGTATGCTGTTAGCTCAATGAAATATCAGCCGTTTTCGGAGAAATGATAGACTGTGAGCATTGTACATTGTAACCTACAGTCATAGTTTTTGTGTAAGACGAAGAAAAGACAACGAAGCCATATCCGAATACGCAATATAAATTACAAAATACAATAAGCAAGAACCAAAATTAGCATTAAGAGATTCAAATAAATCTTTCACTTCGAAAGTCATCACAGTTTTATAAACTTATGAAAGCTTTCGTACTATTCCTGCAGTCATGGCGTCCGAGCAGAGGAATGAAAAATGCTTTTGTCATGGTTATACAATTTACGGTGTTCAAGAAGCGTTTTATAAAAACAATTGTTGTTTGCAGCTTCGATATTATTACAGGTAGTGCTAGTCTCCAAATATAGATAAGTTAAATCAGCCCACATTTCTTAAATTCAAAAGTTTCGCTAGCAAACCATTATAAAAAGCTAGTCGAGTAGGTAGCTTGTTGCTATCGCCGTTAAGCCCAATCATTACTTCTGGTTACTACCGCATTAAGGCTATTCATGTTTGCTGTCTTTACTTAAGCTCCACACATATATATATATATTTCGTTGCTACCTCCATCTCAAGCTTCTTATATACAGTTGTTGTCGCTACGTCACGTGTACACATTTCGTTGCTGCTGGTATAAACATATTTGGCTGTTACCCCAATGGAAGGCTCTTCATCTACATAATTCGTTATTGCAGCTTTATAATTCTATGCATGTCGGTAAATTTTGGTGAATTACAATTTAATAATTAATATAATAATAATTATTGTAAACTGTAAACAATTACGCTCATATTTCATATACCCGTCGATCATAT